AAATTTAATTCTGCTAACGAAACTAATGGTGAACAATCAATACGTAAAACAACAAACACAGTGGGGGGAGAAATTTAATGACAAATCATTTTTTATCTTAAACTTTTTGGATAAAATGCTGTTTCTGAAGGAACAAGTAGCAACAACATTTACGCTAACCTATGATTATTGTGTATTAGATGGAACAAAATGCTTTGCTGGAGCTAGTACAATACACAAAAATAAATATATAAAATTATTCAAACAAATCTTGCCCAGAATACCTCTGTTCTGCTCCATTTTCATGGAGAAAACTATGAGTGTTAGCTTTGCTCGACAAAGATGCTTTTTTTTTTTTTTTTTAAATTGAGCCCTCTTCGACACAAGGAAGCGGTTTCACGTCTTGCCTGAGTGAATTTTTCTTTTAAAGAGGCAGCTGAATAGAAAAAAACATTTTTTACCTGTTTTTCCATCTAGGTTTTCTTCTCTGGCTCCAGTGAATGTCCACATGTGGTGTGAAATTAGAGTGACTGGATATCCAAGAGCACTGCCAGCTCACTGAGCATTTCGCTATCAGATGTTTCTCCAGAATAGCGCTTTGTAATACCTGACTTAATTTTCTGATAGTTTTAACTGGCAGGCAGCTCCTGGGGGAGCACTGTGCTGATTGCTGGAAGATGTGAGGCTTTGTATTTCTATCCTTTAAGAAGGCGATAAGTCTCTGAACAGCACAGCACAATACAGGTGGACTGAAGCACTGACTCTTATTGGTTTCAGGAGGGTGTACTGTGCAATCCCTGGGAATGTACTGTACAACTACTAGGGCTGTGCGATATGACCAAAATCTCATATCCCGATATAAGAATTCTATCGTCCCGATAACAATATAAATCACAAAAATGTAACATTTTCTGTAAATTCTGTGAATCTCGGGCAGCTCGACTTGCGGGAAGTGTTTCCAGCTGCGCGTCATGTAGCTGGAGTCGAGTGTTTTAACCGATGCATGAAACTATACATTTTTAGACATAAGTTGTAAAGGCCGCCGTTTTCTTTGTGAGTATTTATTACACGGCGTGCTGCGGGGAAAAGCCTGTTCTAACGTTTGAGTCTAAGGTTTATTTTTTAGCACCTGGCGGCTCTTTTTTACTTCTCATCCGTAAATAATCTGCTCTTTCACGTGATTCAGTTTATTTTGAAAAGTCTCAACAGGATCTTGAGCTTTATTGTGAAAGGTTTATGTGGAACATAAACAAGCGGACACGCGATGTGTTACCGTCGTTGTTGCTAACCACAACGCATAAAAACAGGCGCTTGTCCGTCTGTAGTGTGGTTATATTAAATATAAGAGAAAGAGAGAACTTTAAGAAATTAATATAGCCACTACAGTGACCATCAAAACGATGAAAAAAATATTGCCGTAAACAGTTTATTTTGCGACACTGCGAAACAAACGATAGCGTAAAATGAAACGATGGACGTTTTTATATCGTCATCCCCTAACAGCTACTGTTCACTTTTGTTCAAGTTTTAAATTTAAGTTTCCCATTACATCTTGTGTTTTGAAGTATTTGATGGCTGTGGCTGTGAATGATTGTCTGTATTTCTCAGTTTTACAAAGAACCCTATTAACCACTTTTAAGGTGTTTCTATGAAAGCCCATGTCACATTATACAGACCAGGAAACATATTCAAGTTTGGCTTATACGCCATGTAAGCCCAGAGGAACATGGGAACTACTCCCTGCCTTGAGTCTGTATACTAAGCTATGCTAATTGCTAATTGGGCTAATACCATGAGAGTGGAATTGCTCATGTAACAACTTTAAGAAGAAAGTAAATTACAGTTATGGTTTAGTTTTAGTTCAAGGCTATGAAGATCTGAGAAGGTCACGAGAACAGATTTGTTTTCAATCCTGTCCATTTTTACTCAGTAAAACATCATTGTGGTAAAACTGAAAATATCTGATGAATGCCTGACCTGAATTTAGCTGCTGTTGGACAGCAGGAGAAATGATTAATAACAGACACAACAACACGAGTCTGTGTTTATGAGGGAGAGATAATAAAAACACACAAGCACACACACATACACACATACTTGTACAGGAAACAAATGATGAAATATGAACTTGTCAGGCAGGCGAGACCCATTACTGATGTTGATTAAAGAGGGTAATAAGAGAATTTAGGGAGGTTGTAGCATCTAGATCTCTTTCTGTTCTCCACTCTCCGAGTTATAACTTATGAACATTGACTTGCTGCCTTTTCACATATCAGTAAGGGCATCTTTAATTAGAAAGTTTGTGGCTCTCAGTGTTCGGCCGGAGTCTTTATTAAGTGATTTTTTTTTTAAATTTGAAAGATGACCAAAGCAAACTGCACATGATGAACCTGACAACGTGCTGATATTATCAGTTTGAAGAGTTAATTTTCACCTGAGAAGATCACATTAGCAATATTATTTAATTTTTATATGATTTAATTTGGAAATGTTAGTAATACGGTAACTTTTACATTTTTGATATATAAATAAATTATGATTGAGTTAGAAGATTTACAGTTTATATATTTATTTTTTTAGTGTTTTTTTTAAATTTCCTTATCCATATTTCCATATTTATTATTTTTGAGCTAGAGTAGCTTTGCATGATTTACAGTTCATAATAATCCTTTTCTGTTATACTCATTTCCTAGGCATTTGTGAAACAAGCTGTGTCAGCTTCTTCCCCTTCCTCTAAACTCATTTTCTATGGAAACGCTTGAACAGGTTTGAACAGCTGAAGGGAGGGGTTTCTGTGCTCGCAGTCAGAGCCTTTGATTATGGTTGACTCGTCGGTCATCGCTTGCGTGAACTGTGACGTCAACAGGAAAAGTCACCAGGGCTGTGACCGGCTTTGAAGTCACAGAGGTTTAGACCTTTTTCAAAATGAGACAGTAAAAATGTCTCGAATGCCTGTGTGATGCTCCAGATGGCTTTCACACTGCCTCTTATTGGGTTGTGTTTAGGAAGTTAGGCTGATGCGTGACTCATGAGAAATGATAATGGGTTGGTTTGGGCACAAGTAGTGACTCAGAGCAACATTAAGACCAGAGTCATTTAGTTACGTTGTGTGTTATTTTAAATTCAACTTTAAAAAAAAGTCTTTATTTGGCGTTTTGCTTTATTTGATTGTTTTATACACTCACAACTCTCAACTTTCACATTTCTTTATACACAGTCACTCCTGTAAAAGAAAGAAGTGTACAAATGTAAAGTCTTTTATGGCTTTTGATTGTACTGGATCTCAAGGACCTAGTGTCTTCAGATGTGTTCCTTTCTGCTGCTCACAGTAGTACATATTTAAGGTGGAGCACAGGTGCTACACTTTAAATATGACACAAGAGAAAAACTTCTGGCTCTGCCTGTCACCATTTATACTTACTGGTTTCCATGCTGTCTTCTTCTGCTCTGTTATATGAGAATCTTTATGCTAACGCACTGATATATCAGTAAAATGCTGTATTTGCACTGAACCACAAGTGGAAAAAAAAGAAACCTGATCTTTTGCCTGGACAGAAATTAAATAGACTTTTAGGTTTAATTTTATTTATATCACACCAGTTTGCAACAGCAGTCCACTCAGGGAATTTTATATTGTAAGGTAAAGACCATAAAATCATAGAAAGTAAACCCCAGTGAGCACAAGACCCCCGTGAGCAAGCAAGTGTCAACAGTGGGAAAGAAAAACTCCAGCAGAGGTAGGCTCAAGGAGGAGCAGCCACCTGCTTTGACTGGTTTGTTGGGCCAAAGTTTCATTATTTGAAATTTTGGCTGTATTTAATATAAAAATCTCCCATCGTTTCTACAAATATGTCAAAAAGTTGAAAAGAAAAACAATTTAAAGCTAAACTAAGTATTTTTTTGTCAGCCTTTTGTCAGCATATATGTGTGTGTGTGTGCGTGCGTGCGTGCTAGAAATTACAATTTTATGTTTACATATTTTCTTGATGGTATCTCCTTCTGTGTTGAATTAATTTGAAGAAATGCTGTGTAGACAGAGAACTCTAACACAAAACACCTGTGCAAACAAACAAACAAAAAAACAATAATGTCATGTTGTATCACACACAGAGCAGACGCCAGCTGCTAGACTCTTAACAACAACCCAAATTACTTTCCCTGTTTAAGTCTCCGTCTCATCAGACTTACAGCCACCTTAGTTTGTAGAATGAACCTCCAAACAAACGTTCATCAGCTAACATCGTTTTCCAGGTTAGGTAGATCATTTCTGTTCAGCTATAACATATTAATCCTTACATTTAGACCTGAAGTAGATCATTTTTTCCAATGGAATATCAGCTCCCTGGTTCTCGTCAAACTATTTGTGCAGTGTGCTAGGTTTGTGACTTTTAAAACAATTTCAGAGGTTTTACTCTTTATGTCATCATTTGAAATTCAAAGGCTGTCAAATTTAAGTTAGCTGGAGGCCAAAAGGTCTCACAGGTTCACATCCCCCATTCCAGACATTGGGATTTAGCTCCTGTGGCCACAGACAGCTGAAAGGAGAGCTCTGAACATCGCTTCAGCTAAAAAACTCCTACAAAAAGTGCAAATAGCTGTCCATTTATACACACAAGATCAAACAAAAGTGGAGCAGCACACACTTTTTTTATAACTTGGCTTAATCTGCTTTAAACTAGTGCCAGACTGCCTGCTGACTCAGTGTCAGAAAAACAACCCATGCACGTAAGGAAGCTGCAGTAGTCACTTCGGTCCAGTTAGACGGCAGTGTGATTCATGCTCTTCTGTTCCATTAACAGCACAGAGTTTACCCTTCACTTACAGCTGCACAGATTTGACTTTTCTTTCTGTCACACACATAACTGCCCCTCCAGCCATCTAGGAAAAATAAGCATTTATGGAATTTCCCCAAAAGACTCTTTTGTTTTTCTCATAAATAATTTAAACTAAATGTGAGTCTTCATGTATTCTGACTTAATTAAGATATTAAACAGTAGCACATGAACCTGTTTTCTCCGCAGGCCGTTCCTGGTGCTGCCCCCGCTGATGGAGTGGATCCGGGTGGCGGTTGCTCACACTGAACATCGACGGAGCTTCTCTGTGGACAGTGACGATGTGAGGCAGGCTGCCAGGCTGCTGTTGCCCGGCGTGGACTGTGAACCCCGACAAATAAAGTAAGAATACGATGTCAATAACATTTACTGCACAAACCTGCTGGAGAATGAAGCTCAGTGTCATCCATTTATGAAACCTGTAAGCCTGCACATGCACGTTCAGTCAGCAGATGCTGCATTAGCATAAACTTCAACCAAGTCTCGTATACCAAACACAAGAATGACTTGCAACAATCACTCACACTTTATTTTAACAGAATCTCATCCACAGTGTTAAAACATGTAGATGAATATGGAGACATGATCAGCAGTTACTTGCACATTTGCTTTCTGATTACAGATTTGAGGTCAGCTGTTTACATGTAACCTGACCTATTACATGGTGTTTACATCAGACAAAACATTTTAAGAGAGCAGTTTGACTTGAACAGACCTGATCAATATGTCATCCAGTCATCCTCCTCAGTGTCCATCTTTGTATATCGAACAACTTTTCAGTAGAATAGTTGCGATTATTTTATTTTTCATTATTGAAAGGTGTGTTTTGCGATCACCCTCTACGGAATGTAACAAAAACTGTCACCACCAGGGGGCAGTTTCATAAGCACGGTGCTGTTTTCCTTTTATTTTTCATGCTGTGTCTTTCCACCTTTTGCTGTCTCCTTTGGAAAGCAGGAATGTGCTGCTTTGCTACAGACAGGGGAAACACTGGTTCAATATCACCACACGGACAAAACATTATTACAACCGTGTGCAATGACACTGCAGTCCTGTTGCCCATGAAATGGTTGCTTTGAAGACGTGGACCCGCTTTGCAACTACCTGACGTCAGTTACCAACTTCAAAACAACTCAGTCTGCTGTAGGTCTGTCAGTTTGGCTGGCAAATACATGCACTTTATCTATGACAATACAGCAATTAATGGATAAATCCCCACACATAAATTCATTTTAACTCTTATATTGTGCAATGAAACCATTTTGTCTACAGCTTTATATAAATAAGCAGCATTTAGGGATATCTAACTGACTTTTATCATCCCTTGACTTTTCCACCCTTACCTGCAGGTTTACACGAGTGGCAAATTTAGTGAAGTCCAGCAGCTGTTTGATGGCTTGCCATAAAAATTACAGGACACATACGATCGTAACTCCACAGACTGCGTATACAGTGGGGCAAAAAAGTATTTAGTCAGCCACCGATTGTGCAAGTTCCCCCACCTAAAATGATGACAGAGGTCAGTAATTTGCACCAGAGGTACACTTCAACTGTGAGAGACAGAATGTGAAAAAAAAATCCATGAATCCACATGGTAGGATTTGTAAAGAATTTATTCGTAAATCAGGGTGGAAAATAAGTATTTGGTCAATAACAAAAATACAACTCAATACTTTGTAACATAACCTTTGTTGGCAATAACAGAGGTCAAACGTTTACTATAGGTCTTTACCAGGTTTGCACACACAGTAGCTGGTATTTTGGCCCATTCCTCCATGCAGATCTTCTCGAGAGCAGTGATGTTTTGGGGCTGTCGCCGAGCAACACGGACTTTCAACTCCCGCCACAGATTTTCTATGGGGTTGAGGTCTGGAGACTGGCTAGGCCACTCCAGGACTTTCAAATGCTTCTTACGGAGCCACTCCTTTGTTGCCCGGGCGGTGTGTTTTGGATCATTGTCATGTTGGAAGACCCAGCCTCGTTTCATCTTCAAAGTTCTCACTGATGGAAGGAGGTTTTGGCTCAAAATCTCACGATACATGGCCCCATTCATTCTGTCCTTAACACGGATCAGTCGTCCTGTCCCCTTGGCAGAAAAACAGCCCCATAGCATGATGTTTCCACCCCCATGCTTCACAGTAGGTATGGTGTTCTTGGGATGCAACTCAGTATTCTTCTTCCTCCAAACACGACGAGTTGAGTTTATACCAAAAAGTTCTACTTTGGTTTCATCTGACCACATGACATTCTCCCAATCCTCTGCTGTATCATCCATGTGCTCTCTGGCAAACTTCAGACGGGCCTGGACATGCACTGGCTTCAGCAGCGGAACACGTCTGGCACTGCGGGATTTGATTCCCTGCCGTTGTAGTGTGTTACTGATGGTGACCTTTGTTACTTTGGTCCCAGCTCTCTGCAGGTCATTCACCAGGTCCCCCCGTGTGGTTCTGGGATCTTTGCTCACCGTTCTCATGATCATTTTGACCCCACGGGATGAGATCTTGCGTGGAGCCCCAGATCGAGGGAGATTATCAGTGGTCTTGTATGTCTTCCATTTTCTGATGATTGCTCCCACAGTTGATTTTTTCACACCAAGCTGCTTGCCTATTGTAGATTCACTCTTCCCAGTCTGGTGCAGGTCTACAATACTTTTCCTGGTGTCCTTCGAAAGCTCTTTGGTCTTGGCCATGGCGGAGTTTGGAGTCTGACTGTTTGAGGCTGTGGACAGGTGTCTTTTATACAGATGATGAGTTCAAACAGGTGCCATTCATACAGGTAACGAGTGGGGGACAGAAAAGCTTCTTACAGAAGACGTTACAGGTCTGTGAGAGCCAGAGATTTTCCTTGTTTGAGGTGACCAAATACTTATTTTCCACCCTAATTTATGAATAAATTCTTTACAAATCCTACCATGTGAATTCATGGATTTTTTTTTCACATTCTGTCTCTCACAGTTGAAGTGTACCTCTGGTGCAAATTACTTCATCATTTACTACATCATTTTAAGTGGGGGAACTTGCACAATCAGTGGCTGACTAAATACTTTTTTGCCCCACTGTAAAAGATGGAAATAGATATTCATCACTAACTGGTCATTGTAGACTATGATTATGAAACCTCAGCACAAGCATTTTGACCATCATAATCATGGTTTTTTGTTATTGTTGTTGTTTTTTGGGTGGGGGGTAACCAGATGTGGCTGAACTATCTTACAAGGAAAGTTACTAATCAGTGGAAAGAAGCTTGCTCATTAAATGTTAACCAAAACTGGAGCACAGATTCTTGGATTCGGTTTTAAACCATATTTTTTAGATAATTACAATTAAATGGTTTAAGGGGCACAAACATAGATTAGAGGACCTCTGTGATGAATAGCAACCAGCCACACCCCAATTATGCACGACTTTAGCCCTTTAATACAATTTAATTTGTGTGAGTTTATTCATTAAGTTTATTTTTTATTTAATCTTAAAATGGGAATCTGTGGGGATCGTCATACATTTAAAGCTGGGCTGCAATTTTTGACACTTTTGCATTGGCTTCATTGTTTTCACCCACTGCGGTTGTTGCTGAGTGGAGCGTAAAGACTGACTAGGGATGGCAAGGACAGCCGGGAGAAAATATGGAGCCAAACTAAACAAATGAGTGTGATTAATGGAATAATGTGGGGATTATAGACAAAAAGTGTGCGCCGGCCTTTAGTTCACAGGAGCACACCCTGTATTGTTTTATTATTAATGACAACATTAACAACATGTTAACATTTCATCGTAGCCCCACAGTGAACTGAATTTCGCCTCGCACTGTAAAATTTAAAAGCTTTTTCATGAGGCTTGTCAGTTGCTAAACAAACTGTGTTTGTCCTTCTTTCTTGGACAGCAGTAACCTATAAATCTTCTCTCTGTATTTGTTTCTGACTCACTCACAGTCTCGCCTCGCTCGCCCCCTCTTTCTTCCCTCATTTGCAAACACTCCACAGCGGTTACAAAGCCGTGCACCATATTTACCTCGTCACCGCTTACTCTGTAATCTTTCTGTAATTTGTCACAGAGTCACCGGGTTAAGAGTCTTTTCACTTTTCATGTATTTGTAAAGAACTAATAAATGAACTACTTCGAGGTGCCAATTAATGCATCTCTTTGCATATGTCAGATTTAACTGTCATGTATATGTAGACCAACATCCGGAAAAGGTTTCTCTGTGGAAACTGCAGTTGTGACAGATGCTTGGATTAAGAGGCTTTACGGGGGACGTGAGTGGGTAATAATGAGTCACAGCAGAAGCCTTACCTGGAGAGAAGCTGCTTAAGAAAAGTACTGAACCAGAAGCAATCAAAGAGAAGTGAGTGTTGACAAACTCAGATATTAAGGAACTGACTTTCAAATTGAAGCAGATCAGTACTTATAAAGTTGTAAGTTTGTTTCCTGATAAGGAGAATTTGAGTTATGAAAGCCTGATCAGCAATCGTTTTCAGCTTCCCTCAGCGTGCCGTGGAGATGCATGTGCTCGGATCTCAAAATCAATTTCTGACATAAGCTTCGTCTTAATCAAAGTAATAGATCTGCTGTTTCTGTCTGCAGAGCCGAGGATTGCTTCTGTGCCACTAGAAAGCTGGACGCAGCCTCCACAGAGGCCAAGTTCCTGCAGGATCTGGGCTTCAGGATGCTCAACTGCGGTCGGACGGACCTGGTCAAGCAGGCCGTGAACCTGCTGGGGCCCGATGGCATTAACAGCATGAGCGAGCAGGTCTGGCACCTAACACACCCACGCTCTCCTGCACACACACTCACATATATATAACAACTTTAAAATCCCACATTTGCACAGCTCAGGGGTTGGAGATACAATAAATTGTGGATTTCTAGCAAGTACCTGGCAACCCAGTGCAGTTCATGCACACATGCTGAGCACAGGCTGCTCTCTCACTGAGTAATGCAGTGTACTAAATGCTTATGCCACGATACAGTTTTCATGCATCTTTCTTTTTTTTTTAATGCAGAAGGAATAAGAGAGTTTTTCTTTGTGTCTGTTTGTGTGTACTGCACTAACCCTGCACAAATGTCCTGCCGCTTCTTCTCAAAGTAATAACTCAATTTCAAACTCCAACCTTTCAAATTTCACACACTGCAGTTTTGTCAAAGCAGATGCTGCCTCTGGGATACTTACAAGGTGTCCGCCAATGAGGGCAGGAGTGGTAAATCATCACTGTCCCCAATGGGAGCTTCATTTTCTCTCTGTGTTTACTTTCACTTTTACTCGTGGTTTGGAGTTTTTGGGTTAAGAAAACATCTTATGACAGTAATAAAGGCGTAATGACCAAGCATTCATTTGTGATGATTTGGGAGTGAGACCAGGCTCGAAACACTCATCCAACAACAATCAGATGAACCCACACTTTACAGAAGTGCAAAGATCTCAATTATCCATCCAGTCTCAAAGGCATTTCTTGTCATGCTTCGGCTGTGTGCAGGCTGGATGAGGACCCAATCGCAAACTCACGGAGGCAGGAATGAACTCAAAATTCACAGCTTTATTGCTGGAGAGCAAAACCATACAAATTAAACTGGGAAACTATAACGTAATAGACGGAGAAACACACAGCCATGAATGAGGGAGAACGCGACACAGAACTGAGGGAGACGCAGACATAAATACACAGAGGGTTAACGAGGGAAGTGGGAGCACACGGGGAACACAGGTGACACTGATGATCATAACAAGACACGGCAGGAGTAAACGCAACACTGACGGGAGACTGTCAAAGTAAAACAGGAAGTACACAGAGGTTCAGACAGGAGGAGAGAGAGCACGGGGAGAGCACAGACATAACGGGCTGGGGAAAACATGGAATAAAACACAAGGAGGGGAAACGAGGGCTCACAGATACACAGAGGGGCACACAGGGGGTAATCAAATAAGGAACATCTTAACAGAACCTAGGAACCACGGCATAAATAAAGAACGAAATACAAAACACAAAAACTAAGAATACTGGCCCAGGACCATGACATTTCTTAGATCCTCAGGTCTTAGCTTAAAATGAGCTTGCACCTAGTGATAATTTGCTTTATTGATTAACCTTCACTCGTCTAAATTCTATATAAAACCTATAGTAAGTCAGAACCTTGCCACAGGTTTTAAGCCAGATCATTATATTTCAGTAAAAAAAAATCATACATTTTATCACACATCTCAGCGAGCTGCGATTAACCACCGCCTAGTTGCCTAAAAAATCAATTGTAGATTGCTGATTGTTTTTCTGTCAATCAATAGACTGATTATTCGTGTAGGAAAAAATTAGTATTTGAACGGCAATTCGCCAACTGTGTGCAAACAACAGTCCAAGTGATTTGGCACTTGGACACAGGCAGTGGTTCGTTGGGCTTGTTTCTGGGATATCTGACACGTTCTCGCTCTGATCAGTGTCTGGAGTCCATGACAGATTAAACACCTTGGTGTTTTGATCCACTTCTATCCAACAAAGATTGCAGACGGTTGCGACCGGATGGTGGGTCAGTCTGAAGCAACGTTTAGACGTTAACATCAAGTAACGTCTACGTGAATGCCAGGATGCAGGGTTGCGCAGCAGAACGTAGATGATAAATGTTTTGCACTTGGTCCACCAGTGGTTTTAACTGGGGATTAAACTGGAATCTGTGTATTTGGTTCAGTTGTGCACCCTTAAGCACCATCGAGTGTATCCCAGTGATGCAGTCCTTTCAATCAGCCCTTGAAATATCACAAAAACAGCTTCATACATAAGTTCCTTATTATTTTTAGTTTTATTAACGCATGTGAGCTTTTGTCTGTGATGGAGAGCTACATCTTACATGGTGGTTTGTTATTTGTTGGCAACGTAGACGTGTTAGTTCTTGGCAGTAAAAGGACCGCGAAAGCTGCTTCTCTAAGCTGCTGATGTATCACAGATATGTGGTTCTTGCAATAATCCTCATTTTTTGTGTATTTTTGCTTTCTTTTTCACTTTTACAAAAATGTACTTGCCCTTTATGCCTAAACACGCTGCCTGCAACAACTTTCACTTGAGGACAGCAAAGGGATAATAATGAATAAAAGAAAATGGAATGGTTAACTAAACCTGCTCATCATATAAAATCACAATATTTCAGGTTATAACAGCTGGCAGAGCAAAGTATGTTTAAAACAGAAAAGAATAGCAGGGGTTTTATTTATTTATTTCTCCCTCATCCTCCTCCAGATCTAATACAGTATATCAGGTGAGCGAGGTGAAGACATCAAGTCCTTTGCATCTCCACGTCATGCAGTGTGACTAAGCCTCGCCCTCTTTAAGACCTCAAGGATCTGATTAAAATCCCTCAGTTTTACTTGCGTGACTAAAGCTAAAGATGCTGTAACCTCTGACTCACTCTGACTTCAGCAGCTGAGAACTGTCTCAAAAATACATGAAATTATTGTTATTTTCTACATTTTTTTAAACATATAATTAAGATGAAGTCATAGTAGGATCCTTAACTTGACTTAATTTGACACACATTTCTTAAAACTCGCACCAACTCCTCTTGGCAATGAAAAAAACATTTTTTTCCTCTTAATCCTTTCAGCACAAAAATGCATATTTCACAGGTCTGCAAAGGAGTGGTCTCATCCCCACAGCCCCTGCCTCATGTGCTGCTATTAATTGCTCATTAAACACCACAACATGCTGGCAGTGGCCCAGCGGGGACATGAATGTAACCGCATGGATAACAAAGAAAATACAAATATAATAATCAGTGGACCTCGACCAAATGCAATGTAGTAACATTGCGGCAGTGGCGGCAGTGAAGTAACAAATAAACCTGTTACGACTCCAGCTCACTGGGGTAAGGGGGAGGAGCATTAATTAACCAGATGGAAGAGGTTAAATGGGAGTTAATTTATTTATTTTATAGATTTTTCCACTGGCAACGAAATTTTAGAAGCAAAGCAATCACAAGACAAAGAAGAAGAAAAGCAGAAGTGTGTCGCAGTTATTGTTTGTGGAGTTTTAGTTGAGGACCAGCTATTCAGGGCAAATATATGTGCTCACAAATAGGTCTAAAACGTAACAAAAGTACAACCAAAACACATTAAAGTGGTAGAATCCAAAAAGGTAGAGGGGTAACAAAGGAAAGACAGCATATATAAGCATACACTGAAGGCTGATGGGAACATAATTACTGGAAGAGAGAACAACCAGAGAGTTGGAGAAGACACGGGAAGTAAAACTAGTGCAGGAAATACTAAACACAGACACAAGATTAACACTCGTCATAAAGACAGAAACGAGGGAAGAATTGAGGAAAAAGGAATGAACAGGAAGACAAACTAAGAAATCAAAGTTTACACTAGAACAATCATAAAATGTCTCCAAAAGTGAACCAGAAATTCATTCTTCCACTTTGAGCAGAGACACCCAGACCCCCCTTTGCTCAGCCACATGCACCAACTCTTCTGGGGGACACCAAGATGTTCCCAAGCCAGCGAAGGGAGTGTCTAGGGTCTGCTACCAGTGGAACATCCCTAGGTGTTTTGGGTGCCTCCTTTCAATGTGGAGGAGTAGAATCTGTACTCTGAAACGTTCCTGATCTCCTCACCATTTGTCCCTAAGAGAGACACCCTTCAGATCCTAATTTTTCCAGTCACTACCCAGAGGTCAGGTCGTGACCAAACAAGTATCCAAAAATATAAGAACCAAAACTTCAAACAATACAATAAATAAATACGCGAGTTTACCTGATGTCCCTGGCCAATGATCGTACACTCATTGCCGCCTACCTAAAAAGAAAAAAGACAAGAGGCAGTAGCACCTCTCAGCCTAGTGCCAGGGATGTGTATGAATGAGAAATGCCTCAGCTAAGAAGAGGCAACACCCAATATCAAGTCACCTTGAACTTCGCAGTGTGCAAACAGGAGGTATGAGTCCTTTTAACAGTTTTCATGGTGCTGTGGATGGAGCCGGGGGCTGGAGAACCGGATTAATCAAAGGTGGCAGTAGGCGGGATGCAGGAGGAGCAGTCAGGTGAAGAAGAGCAAAGAAGCAGATGCGGGGGCTTGCACACACCATCCAGCATACTGATCGCTTAAATTACTCAAGCAGGGAGGAGAGGAGCGACTCAGGGCTGTAGCAGAGCGGCATCCAGCTACAGATTGTGCCATGACCTTCCTGTTCATCCTGAAAGTGGAAGGGAAAAGGATTTTTCTTTTGTTGCCTGCTACTGCAACACTTTTCCTGCTCTGAGCACTGACAGGTCAGGTCAGTATCTCAGTCCCAGTACAGCCAAGTGTCACTTGGGAATCTTCACCTTTGACGGTTCGTGGAAATATTGGCTATTCCCAGTGCTGCTAAGTGGAAGTTAATTGTGCAATCTGACTTTCCGCGGTCAATAAGCTGCGCCTAGTTAGGTTTAATTAAGATTTGCTTGGCAATTCTTCACTCAGACAATCTAAAAATAAAGTCCAGGTCTGGTTGATTAATGTTTGCTTAAACACACTATATATTGTTTATAATATATTACAAAAAAATGTGAAAAACAGATGCTTGTTAAATTGACAGATTGTATTGACTTATGCTTTCCTTCCTCTCCCCTCACATAAATACGAGCCTGTGACATGCAGGCTTTTATCTCCTTGTAAAGGAGGCTAAATGGAGCAAAAGACCAGACAGCGTTACAGGAGCAATAAAGTAAAAGCTGGAGTCTGTCATAACGGCTAAGAGACATTTTGAACTCATCACGGTGCTCATCGCGGTCCGTCGTCTCTCGCCCTTTAGCCGTCTGCTGATTAAGTAGATTGCTGTCCAGGAAATGTTTAAGAATGAATCACCACTAAGGGAGATCAGTCTTCAACATAAAGCGCTGTGGTGTGTTATGAGTGAGCCGTAAAAGGCCTCTGTTGAGCATAATGGCCCAGATCAGATATATGATTGAAGTCTGTTTTATGGAAGCTCATTTAAAACAGTTAGAAAAGTCTGATAAATGTGAAGATCTCGGTGCCTCGTTTACAATAAAGGTCATTTTTAAGTTGTTGCTGTTGCTGATCTTATGCAATTCTTTGCAGTAGCACTTAGATGAAGCAGCTTCATCCTGCAGCATAATGTGTGTGGGCGTGTCAGAATACTCTGTGCATATGGAGACACGCAGAGATAGAAGAAGTTATGTTAGGAGTTTCACAGCCCACCTTTGTGCTTTTGCCCTTGTTGGGAAGACACGGTTATTTTAAGGGAGTAATGAAAAGGTCCAGTAAATAAGAAGCTGCGAGAAACTGCCGGATATTTCTCTGAGTTGTGTGCTGTGTGTGTATACTTATTATATCTCACTGCATTTTACAGAACGGGATCGATTGGTAGGCAGCAGTGAAGTTATAGCATGTACATAAAATGGTGATTTAAAGAAAATTATGTGAAGCCTTCTAAAAAACGAGCTAATGTTGTGGTTACGGTCAACACGATCGTCAGTGATTGTAGGATTTAGCTAGGTAAGCTACGTAAAAGCCTTCAGGAACAGGTATAGACAAAGTAAAAACCGGAAGTGAAGTGATTGCGGAAGTTTTTCCACAGTTTTCTGCAGAATGTTTTTGCAACTGCTGCAGCAAACTGCTTCCGTGTCATCTGGGAATCCCTTTGCTCCTGCATTGATGTAACTCAAAGATGACTGGCTGGTGCTTTTAGCCTGACTGTGTAACAAAACGGTGTGGATGTAAATAGTCGTCATTATGTTATTATAGGAAGAGTCATTTTTATTGTGCCTTTCTGGTCTGACCATTCAAGGCTCTTAACACCGAGAGTCACTTTCACTGATTCACACACAGATTCATACTTTACTTATTCTGTGCACTTTAAGAGCTTTACCTGGAAACCGTTTCCAGGTAACCCAGCAATGATGATCTTGGACTGAGCACAGAAAGAAACCAGCAGACCAGCAGATAAAAACCAACCACTGTGCTGCAGCACATAGGTGTGCCATAGGTGTGCTGCAGCACATAGGTGTGCTGCAGCACATAGGTGTGCTGCAGCACATAGGTGTGCTGCAGCACATAGGTGTGCTGTGAGAAATGATCAGGTGTGCTGTGGAAGACTACCTGGTTCCACCTGATTAATACTCTTCCATCCAAGTACTAACCAAGCCCAACCCTGCTTAGTTTCTGAGATCAGTCGAGATTGGGTGTGCTCAGGGTCGTATGGCTGTAAGCTGATTAGTGCTCTAAGTGACCTGCCTGAGTAACGGACATAACAAATACATTTTCTTCCACTAGAGGGCATTACAACTCCTTGCTCTAACTAACTGGGTTACCAACTGCTGGTAAAACACAAGAAGATGAAGAAGAAATTACATATTAGTCATAGGAATGAATAAATATTTGAAAAGAAAAAGTAGTCAGTCAGACCTGGGTCCAAGAGAAAATTCCCACCCAGATGAAGGCCCTAGCATGAGTAGTGGTCAGAAGGAAGCAAAAAAGGTATACTGGGGACAAACCGAGCCAATTTTGCTACGCCTGGTGTGCGGGGAAAAATAATCAATATGCTTTTTGTGACGTTTTTGCTTGGTGGTGTGCCCTGTAATTTTTCTAATGTGAAATAGTGGCTCCAAAAGGTTTGGAATCACTGCGCTAGAGCAAGGGTGTCAAACATATGGCCCTGGGACCAGAATTAGCTCACCAAAGACTCCAGTCTGACACTGGATGGCTTTGGAGAATGTAAAGGAAGGTATAGATTTTGGACTTTTAACTAAGCTTTACAGCTTTTCCTACTTACAAAGAATTTCCCCAAGAATGTTCATACTAGAAACCAAGGTTACAAAGTAATAGATAAACATTTAAATAGCAGAAAAAATCCTGGTTATTTAGAATTTTATGGTGAGTCAATAGTTAAATAAAAAGATAAGAAAAGTTAACAAAAACTTTCTGTTGTAATCTCAGAGCAGTCTTGACAATGAGGCACCAGAACTTTTTCTTTAATTTTGCACATTTGTTGACTCCCAAAGAGTCATGCTGCTTGTGGCATTCATGTGCCACATAAACATTGCTGCACATGAAACAGTAGCAATTGCACTCAGTGGCCACCACAGGATTTTGCTCTGTGCTCTACCTCGGAAATTGATTGAAAAACAGGACAAAGAGCCAAAATTTGATCCGCCTTTCAAACATCACTGAATCCCAATCGAAGCTAGAATCTCCAAGATGTGCACACCAGCAAACGAAAAGATCCCCTGCTAAGGTCTTGGTACCAGACACCACGTGAATCCTTACAAAGTATAGAGCAGTACGTATAAGGTGGTGTACATGAATACGTTTAAATGTTTGTTTTTGAGTTTGACTGAAACCAAGTACAGCAGTTAGTCGTCTGAAGCGGTCTCTTGTTGAACAGCAAACCTCTCGCCTCCTATTAAAATATGCACAACCCACACAGCTGCAATAGCTACATTTACAGGAATAACACCAGATTGAAATAACCTGGAATTATTTCTCAAGGCATTTTGTTAATAGCAGTGAAATCAACATTTTTGCATGAGAAATAACAAAAGTGTGTTTTCAATGCAATTCCTTCTCTGTTTGGTAGAGGTCCTAACCTCCAGCAGGAGTACACTTACTGGATGATGAGCAGCAAATCAGAAAAAGGACTCCAATCGAGTGATTTGATTGTAATCCTTGAACACATCCTTAGAAATTTCCCTTGAAGCAAAATCTAATGTAAGATGAATATCACATTTGTGTGAGAAGTTGGCCTTTAGATAATAAAAAAGTGAAATGATGCAGAGCTCATTTCAAAGATCCAGCCTGATTATTCAGTGCATGTAAAGTATTAAAGCAAACTGACCCAGTAATAAATGGTCCAGTCAAATCTCTGCTTAGTCTTTGTTGCCATTCAGATCCTTTGTTATTGTGGGTTTTTTTGTACTTTGATTTAATTTGGCTTTGTATGTTTTTAACAAGTTTGCTTACCAAAGAAAAGGAGGCTAGCAAGTTCTTTCACAAACACCGCTGACACGTAGTCAGATTCATATATCGCTATGGCACTGAAATCCTCATTCTTGTTGAGAGAAAGTAATCACTGTTAGCATCCTTTAGCTCATTACAGTTACTTTGATCATTAGAGATGGTGTTTATTATTAAATCCCATTTAACTATTGTTACAATAGTATTTGAGGTACTATGTAGCCAAAAAAGGGTTGAAGTTTTTTTTTTTTCTAACACTGAGTAAAGTGGGTCACCCAGTCGTAGGCTTCAAGAAGGCAGATGCCTTCACTTCTAAGACTTTAACTTAATCTGTTTTCAACCACCTGTCAGCTCATTGTCAAACTTCTAATTCTGTGCCTTTGGGTTTTCTTAATGCAACATTTAATTAGCATTTTGGTGACAAAGTATCAACGTTTCAGCTATCTAGTTGTTGAGTTAAAGTGAAGTTGAAGAATTTGGAAGTAGTCTTCCTTCTTCATTATTCCATCCACTTTGTAGAACAGCTGACCTGAGGTTCACTGTAAACAGTGATGCTGGTGTTCCAGCAGTTTCCAGTACATGCTAGGCTTGAACCTTGGTGTTTCCCAGATTGTTCCTGAACATCTAAACCAATTATCTAACAGATGGTGACTTTTTAGGGTTTTTTTTTTCCAGACCTTGGTAAAGTTGTGACACATCAGAATAACTTTAGTTTCTGATGATTCAGGAATCTGCACTTGTTTAGAAATGTCTCCAAGAGACCTCTCCAACTTGTGTAAATATAGTTCTCTTTCTTAGATTTTTCCATCCACTTTGTTTAATGTACTGGTACCACTGTTACACTGGCCTTCTTAGACCTTCATTGAGTTTCTTGGACTTGGTCACTTGTTGTGAGTATGGGTCAGTTCAGTGAGTGCTGTCAAATAAATCCTGTTTATGGTAGCAAAGAGGCCTTAATAGGCCTTGGCCTTGTCTGGTTAAAATGCATTATTGAACCTTCAACACCATAACTCATAGGGTCATGTGTCACAGTAATTATTAAATGGTCAGCCTATTTGGGGGGGACATCCAGAGAGCCAAAGCTTATTGTTCCTTAACCTCCTAAGACCCGAACTCTTCCATGGCAAGCATTTTTAATTTATCTTTGATATTTGGGCATATTGGGACCCGATGAATGTAAAAACAAAGAATCACCAGATATTTTTTTTTACCCGATTTTTGTTCCTAAGAAAAATGAGAACCCCGTATGAGGATATTTGTTTTAAATTTTGATGGAACAGTGGCAGTATAATGTCCTCGTAAGTGGACATCAGGCCCTTGTAGAGCAAAATTTAGTATTTTGGTCTAAATAACCCAAAAAGTGATGTCAACATATTTGGACGCCAGGTCCTAGGAGGTTAATGTAGGAGGGTGGTGCACCAGTCAGCATTGGTTCCTCATAGAAGGAAATTACTGTCTGAATCTACAGATGTGTTGAGAGGAAAGAATGCCCACTTTTCAACTAAATTTAGACATAGCAGGACGTCTTTTCAGCGACCACCAACGATTCCTTTTCACCTTTCACTCTTTAAACAAATCTCCACCTTGTTTAGACATCTGGAAAAATCATCTCTCCCATCTCTTTCCAACGCCTTTTTGCTGGGTGGAATCTCTGCTACCATTCAACAGCTTCCCATTTTGGTACTATGTAGAAATATGTCATCCTCCCCCCTTTCTTCCCCGTCTCATCCTGCAGGGAATGACCCCTCTCATGTATGCCTGCGTTCGTGGTGATGAGGCCATGGTCCAGATGCTTCTTGACGCCGGAGCGGACATCAACAGCGAGGTCAGTGTCAACTGTCCGCTAGTCAAATGCAGCAGTGTCACAATGATTGCACTTTTTTTTTTGTTCTGGTCTAACATGTTTGTTCACATTTGTTTCTGTAAACAGTGAAACTATGAACCCACTTTGTGTTGCTCTTCCTTCCCCCTCCCCCTATCGTCATTGTCTCACCTGCTCTCAGCATGCTCTCTGTTCCCCGGCAGCTCATTACACGAAGTGCACCAATAAGCAATAAGCGAGTATCACTGTTTTAACACCGATACAGGAAAATGATCCACTTTGCAGGCAGTTATTTCATTACGTTTTACACTGTAAATCCAGCAGCAATTTGCTTATACCACATCAATAATACATTTCTTTTATAATTGTGTGCACTTAGTGTAACTTGCTACCACAGACTCTGCATGAAGCTTGAAAATCATTGCACCTATCTGTTGTACTTAACAGTGCACTGTTAGAATTCCTGTTTTTTTCTCTGTAGTGTGTGCTTGTATGTGTGTAATCGCTTTAATTTTCAGTTAGAAAATGCAAAAGTAACACCATTTATGGGCTCTCCTTCACCGTAGTGACCTCATTATTGATCACTGTGATTGCTCCATTGCTTTGATGCTTGTGTTAAGTGCAGTATTGACTCAGAAGCAAAGCAGTACCTGTAAAATCAACCGGTGGTTTATAGAATAAGAAAGATGAAGCTAACATAAATTCAAACAAAGTGAAAACACCTCATTTGCTCCTACTGGAGCCTCGCTGTAAAGTTTTATGCAGAGGCTTTGAGATATTTTATCTGTCTGACATTTCAGCTATAACACCAATAAACAGAGGCGAGCTGAATGCTGTTTGCTCTCCAAAAACCATATCCTGCTTTAACTAGAGCAACTGCCCCCAGAATGCGGCTCGGGAGGAATTTTGGTGTGAATACAGCTGTGAAATTTTCACACGTATAAGAAAGGGCAATTTTCCGTCAAAAAAGTTCAGTTTTTCAGATATTTTGTCCTTTTTGTCTTGTAATACAGATCACTTGTACCTGCAACCCAAAATAATCTAAAACAGACTCAAAAGTAACATTTCTCCTATCATCCATATGTCCAGATTTTATGTTTTGCCAAAATTTTGAGCTATTTTTCCCAGAACTTTCATTCAACAAGTCTCATTTCGACATAATAACCCCAAATTTTGGCTTATGGGTTGCAAAAATAATGGTTTAGTTTGTTTTCTTTTTCAGGAGCTAAAAGCTTAGAATACAAAAACCACTGATAAAACTGGCATAAGGGGCGAATTGAATTTCCATTGAAAACTAGTGTTTAGGTTCTGATTTAGAGCCTCAGACATGAGTTTACGAGCAGCGCAGCTCTTCATCAGCCAGCGGTACACGTTAAATCAAATGATGACCATTGGATAGAAAAAAATACAAAGGTTCACAAATCAACATGCATGTCTTACAGTATGGAGACAATAAGGCCCTGTACTATGAAGCAGGTTCATCAGAAATCTGGATAAGTGCCCCCAAGAAGGTGGTTATCAACTGCTGCATCAACCCAGGTTTTATCACTGTAGTTGTGGTGTTGGCACCATCACACCAGTTACAAACAGAGAAAAGTGCACTCACACCAGAGAGACTGAAGAAAAGCTCACAGCAGTGACTCCAAAAACATCCCACCAAAATCTCACCTGTGGTAAAAATTTACATGCGAATCCATCTGTAACTCTGTGAGTAATCCTCCTAACAAACAGAGAGACTGAGCCAATCACATAACCTCCCTGTGGAGGTAAAAAGTTGAAAAAACAGTGACCTGGATAACCCCGATAATCCCGAGGTAGACGTTGACATTTTGCTTTGAGCGCTTCAAAGCTACACAGTTAAATTCACCTCTGCTGCTTTTAAACTGTAACTGTAATCAAGACCAAATCTGTCTGTGTGGATAAATACATGCACAGAAAAGTAGACCTAAGCTTCTAAGTAAAGTAAAAAGGAGTTAACTTCTTCTCTGCAGTGACAGCCTGTGACTGGCTCTGTTTCTGCTGGAACTGCCTCTTATTATAACGTCATAAATAATTCATTCCTGTAAAAACATAAGCTCTAACAGTCCCGCTGTTGTTTAGCATCAAACCTCAAATGAAACGTGGCGTATTATTTAACATCTGTTTGTCCTCCAGGCGACATTTAGAAATAATTTCCTTAATTTACTCAGTGATAAAGCAGCTTTAGAAACCACAGAACAGCATAAGGCTGGTACGGCTGTTTGATTTTATTCACTCGCTGCTTCGCTCGTGAGTCAGCACCGCCCCTCTCCTCGGCGTTAGTTGTCGGTGTTTGTCGTCGGTGTTTGCTGTCAGTGTTGCGCTTTTTCTCTCTTAGTTTCATTCCCCTTTGAAATGAAACGCTAATAAGGGGTGGAGCTGTAGATACAACAAAGTGTGGTGAGAGAGCCTCGTCCAGGCAGATGCTCTTTGACGTTTAGAGTGACGATTGAGATGAGAGGCAGGATTTAAGCTGCTAAAGATTTTCTATGAAACTCAAGAGGAAAATCTCCCTGTGCCATCCTGCCCTCCTTTGCTTACACTTCTCCCTTCTGCATACTGCTTCTCACTCCCCCTCTTTCCCCCCATCCCCCGCCCTGAGCTGTGAATGTTAATGGCTGTATATATAAATATATATATATCTCTCTCCCTGAACTTCACCTATGACTTCCCAGGTGCCAAGCACAGTAAACAAGCACCCCTCAGTTTATCCTGAAACGCGCCAGGGGACGCCACTCACTTTCGCCGTGTTACACGGACACGTCCCTGTCGTGCAGGTAGTGATGTTTATGACCTGTAACCATTAACCTGTGGCCCTTGCCCTATCCTTTGTACCAAAATGAGGATAATAATGATGATGGTGATTATTATGATGGTGCATCATAATAATGATGATGCCAAATGACCTTTCTTTCTCCTTCTTGGTCCTTTCTGTGCAGTGTGTATCTCAGTTATGTGGAGAGGGCTTGGCTCAGGATTATGTATGCTCCTAAAATTAAGTGTAGGTCTGACCCAGGCCCCTGTTTCCACCCTAATCTGAAGACTGATCCTGAAGTAAGAAGTAGTAAGAAGCTTGAAGCGCAGCACTGATGCACAGCCCCCAGGGATGCCAAAATTTGAGTGTTTTGTTCAGTTTTAATATATAAAACACATTTTGTTGCAGTCATTACTGTGTGAGCTGACACGGGCTGAAAGCCTGATGAACACCAGCGCCTCCAGGATTTTTTCAGTTATTAATCTGCATCAGGGCAAATCAGAGTTTTGGAGATATAAATTCTTCGTCTTCAGCTCAACACAGACGAATAAGACCCCCACACAGCATAATGATCAAGCATAGCTAGAATGTCAGTGACTTTCTGAGCTGGTTTAGGTTTCCACCAGTTGAGGTTTTTTCCTCTTGCCAAGCCTGACTGTAACATCCCCTCTTCTCCCTCTACCTGTATTTTCTTTCTCCCTGCTCTCCCCCCTTTTTTTGGTTTGTTTTCCTCTTCCTCCCTCCCCTCTTCCCTCCACCTCCTCTGCCTCCCATCTCTGTCACAGTTGTTGCTGGATAATAGAGCGAATGTGGAGGGCGCCCTGCAGGATGGGGCGGAGAACTACACAGAGACCCCACTTCAGCTGGCCGCCGCTGCAGGTAATCGCACACAAGCAGCAAAGGCTCATCTTTAATTTGGGCTTCCGATGGATGTGCACACTTAACCCAAGTATTCTTATTCCCGTATATGGGATTAGTCACGACATGTTTGACTCCAAGCACACCAGAAGGCGTTTTCACACAGTTGTAATTAATGCATCACTTTCAATTACTATCTGGGATTCCAGAGTGTAGGGAATTTTAAATTTTAGTTCTCATCACTGTGCTGCTGTATGGCAGAATGTACAGCAGGTATTTTACTCAGTAAAAACGAGCTTCAAACTCATGTTTTATTTTTCTAAGATCTGAGGATTTATTTATATAAACTGAGGTTGGCTGGCTCAAAGAAATAATTGTACCTTTTCCAGATATAATCCAATATATGAATAATAATAATGGATTGCATTAATATAGCGCTTTTCAAGACCCTCAAAGCGCTTTACAATTCCACTATTCATTCACTCTCACATTCATACACTGGTGGAGGCAAGCTACAGTTGTAGCCACAGCTGCCCTGGGGAAGACTGACAGAAGCGGGGCTGCCATATCGCGCCATCGGCCCCTCTAGCCATATAAAAATCCACAAACTGTAAATAAAAGATGGACATAGCTACTGCGACATCAGCCATTTGTTTATGGGCTTTTTAAAAAAATTTCTAATTCAGATTTTTTTGTTTCTTTTTTTGTTTCTTTTCTTTTTTTATGTGATTGTGACCATTCCTGGACAGAAGTCTGGATGGGAGACTAGCTCCTTGCTAGCAAGTGGTAGCTTACTTTGTTAGCAAGGTGTACCTTTACTGTTATACTAAATTGCCATTTTTAGCTAGGAAAAGACATGAAAAAAACAAAAGTAACTTACTTGAGAAGACTTATTTTAGTATATTTCAGTATTACTAAACTATTACAATAAAGAGCTCATCATTAAAGGTCATTAAAGGGCTCAGTTTTTTGGTACTGATGATTTTCAAACCTGGTAAAGACCTTTAACACTGATCACTATGAGGTTTAACGAGGTAATTTGAAGTTTATCAAACTATTAGCTAACTTTACGAACAAGTCACTGGATCTTGTAAGATCAAGTCTGCTTTATAAAAGTTGGACAGTTTAGTCAAAAATAGTCAGTTCTGGAGGCTGCTGGAGGAAATGCAGTTCCACTTTTTTTTATTGGCTTCATTTTAAAATATAAACCCACTGTAACACTTGCTAGCAAGGCTAATCTAGATGTTGGTATATGTAATTTTATGTGTTATTTTTTTATCATAGAAAATGACAAATGGCTTTTAGTACACCTACTTGGTGAACAAGATGAATCTGCACACCTTCAGTTTGGCATTGTTAGTATTTTACGTTTTCAGTGTTTTGTAAATCAACATTTTTTGACTGTGTGTTTTGTTTGTTTGTTTTCTGGGGGCAGGAGTTGTACCTGGCTGCTTATTTTTATGTTTTTTGGTGCAAGCCTAAACAGGCTGTGACACTGACTTTATTTTCAGCTCTGGGGATTTCTGCTCGTTTTCTGCACCAATTAAGCAAGATACACTATTTTAATTAGTAAGCTTTAAAGATGCCAGTTTAAATCCTTTGCAGCACCAGTCCAAGTTTGGAAACACGGTCATCTTTTCAGCTTCTAAAGTGGCAAACCTCACATATAGAATTTGTCCAGTTTATTTGCATTACTCTACATTCAGACCTGCTAACAAGTTGAAATCCGTTCACAAGTGTTACCAAGGGTGACTTGGTGAGGTGTAGGAAGTCACACTGCCATGGTAACAAGGGATTAAAACATACAACCACAGATAGTAAATGTTTTTCACATCCTTTTCATTAAATAGTAAATGTGGATGAAATCAAGATCAGCTCCAAAGCTAATATTGTTAATGAAGAGCAATGAGCGAGAGGCTTTCTAAGACCCAGAATAACTTTATGCAGGTCCAGGCTCGTGTTTTGATGTCTTGATCCCCAATTGGATCATCATGGTTATGGTGTTTTGTTTGATGCTGTGTCCAGTCTGATAATGTCAAGTTCTGGTCTGCTAAGTAGAAAACTCTCCGAGACAAAAACCCAGCTTGGACTATAAAATTTGCACAAATAAATAATAATTTATACCTTAAAAAATGAGTATTTACATACATCTACTATATCAGATGTAGATATAAACATAACAAGTTTATTGTAGTTAACTGAAACTAAATACTATGTGCATATATATTTAAAAAAATAGAGACAATATCTGTATTGTTTGATAAAAAAATGTCATTACAACTTGTTTTTCTTGAGACTTTGGATATCTACAACACTGTGAGTCAACAGCAGTGATTTTTTCTAAATCTTACTTCTGACCTGTGCCTTTTATAAACAATAATTAAAAAGACTAAAATGTGCAAATTTCAAGCAATGAAAAGAAACTAAAATAAATACTAATTTGAAAATTCTGATACATAGACAACTTTTTAACAAAACTGGATTTAGACACAACACAATATTGATAATATATATATTTCAGAAACATAAATAGGAATCGCAGCAATTCCCAGTACTTTTTTCCATATTGGGCCAAATTTACTAAGGCATTGCACCAGTGAGTAAAGAGAAAAAAATACTGTTTCTATTTATAAAGAGAGCACAGTGACTGTGCACAACTTTTGTTAGTAACCCGTAAAACTGACCATGCCTATGAGCAAATACATAGTTTAAGGGATTTAAGGTGGTCACATCACAGATAGACAAGTGCAGTGGGACAGACGGAGACTTCGGGGAGTAATCTATAGAGTAAAGTAAAACTTTGAAGAGGATAGTGGCTGAATTTCTGCTTTGATTAGCAAACGTTACCTACATTTATTATTTGCTGCTCGTGTCCTCGGAGTAAATAGTAACTCTTGCCCTCTAATATATGCACAGGACTGAAGCTGTACCTTTCAAATGCGGGTGTGTGTGTCCTCCCTTTTTTAATCTCTTCCCTCTGTCATCCTCGTTAGGTAACTTCGAGCTGGTGAGTTTGCTTTTGGAAAGAGGGGCTGACCCCATGATTGGAACCATGTGTCGAAACGGCATCTCCTCCACCCCGCTGGGAGACATGAACTCATTCAGCCTGGCAGCAGCACATGGCCACAGGTGACACAGACAATCGCACAGACACACACACACATGCACTCTCAAGTTCCAGCCAGCCAAGACGTATCCATTACCACAGTATTGATCCATTTACACACTCTGCCCCGGTCCATCTGCCTCTCACAAAATCCTGCAGCACACGAGAGGCAGATATCTCAGTTTCCCTGTCGGACAGCAGGCAGCGATAAGCGCCGCAGTCTATTCGGCCGCTCTCGTGGCTTCGGTTTGACATAATTTCCCTGCAGCTGAGTAAGACAGAGCCCATTAACATTCAGAGCAGCGAGGGCTGTCAGGAAATGGAGTGGAGTGGAAAGCCAACAACACAATGCAGCATTATTAGGACAATCAATTATAGTGTGATGGTCATGCTGCAGTGTGATGTGAGCAGGTTAAAGCTGCATTAGGGCTGTGAGACACTAGACGTTCTTATTTAACATCAGATAAAGTTCATATACGAGCATCAAGAAGCAAACAATAAAAGGATTAATGTAGCTAGTTGCTAACAGTGAAGGTTCCAAGACCCCAGCACACAAGTATTTCTACCTGTGGTATTTTGTCTATCAGTTGCCAGAGTTATTAAACAAGGCTTTGAGAATGTATGTAAAGCATAAGCAGTCATGCAGAAGAGCACAGGAAGATGGGAGTGTACGCTACAAGTATGTCCAAGACAGCGTCCGTAAGTGGTTTGGTGGATTATATTACAAAGCATCTTGGATGTAAACTTGTAAACTTGACGCATTTTAAAAAACATAAACTGGATCCTGGGCGTGTAGCTATAAAGATAATGTTCATATCTTTGGAAAGGAAAACAAAATATTCCTTTTTCTGACTTTGATTACAGTATAAAAAAAACTGTGTATATGAGGAATATGAGGAAGAACTTATTCGCTAAATGAGTCATTTTGTTCGGTTCTCACTCTGGTCATCTGGATATTACTAGTGTTCGTTTTTATTGTTATGTGCACATATCCATAGGTGTGAAAATTGAGGCGGGCCTGTATAAAGTTTAGTTTGTAGCTTGGTTTTTTTTTACATAAGGGTGTAGGTCTTGAGTATCTTTCAGATTAAAACATTTTTTAAACCATCTGGAGCATTGACGTATCTTGGTTTTGTACTTTTAAAAATGTATTTATTTTTAGAAATAAACTGAATCTAATAAAAAAAAAATGGTTTGATAATAATAATGTTTCCTGAATGTCGTATCGACTGGATGGTTATGTTTTGAGTTAAGGCACTTCCTTCCTTAATCACTAGCTCTTATGTTTTCCAGTCAGTTTTACTTCCTCTTTTTGGGGATTTTTCTTTTTCCATCCTTGTTACCTGTCCGCCTCACCCAGTTTAATTTCACCTGCCTTGTCTTCCACACCTGTTCCCTATCCACCAATTGCCCTCCTGTGTCCGTTAACCACCCACTCCAGTGTACGTGTTTAGACTCCAGCTTCCCTTTGTTCTTCGCCAGATGGTCTTGTTCTCACTGCCAAGTGGTTCGGCACTTTCAAGTCTGGTTTCTTGTTTCTAGTTTTCCCTCCCTGTGTATTTTTATTGCCTTGGACTCCTTGCTGTCTTTCATCTATATGTTTAATGGATTTTTGCCTGCTCCCCATGTGGTTCGCGTGCTTCACTGCTGTATTTTTTTCTTTCTGCCTATCTTCTGGCTAATTATTTGGATTCTGGGCTTTTACTAAGCCTCTTTGTGCCTTTGCATTCATTAAACTTGTCAGCTATCTACTCATCAAAATATCCAAGATATTTGTTTCTAGTGAGGGTGGAAACGGTGAAGGTAGGATTTCAGAGACAATACAGTTGTGGGCAGAAGTTTGTATCCCCTCCTCATGGGCTTGAATTTCATGGTATTTTGGGGATGTAATTATTTCTTTGAACTTTTCTTTTCCCAGGGTTGAATGATTGTAAAGTAAACATCTTTAATGACTTCAAAAGTTCAAGAGTTGGGTGCATTTACTGTGGATTTTCTTTGATCCACGCAGAGTATAAAAATATGCATACGGATTAAAGTGTATACATACAGTCACCTAAATATTTTAATAAGTGGAAATGAAGGTTCTGCAGTTGTTGTTTTTTTAACTTGACAAAGCCAAGCTCTATTAACTTGTTAGTGATTATGATTGACTTCTGGTAGTTTCTCTTTGCCAACATGAAACAAATGTGTTTGACGGCGCTCATTGTCCAAGGAACTCAATGAAGATCTAAGAAGGAGGATTGTAGATTTAAGTTGTGAAGGTCTCTTGGAGTCATTTGTAAATAGCTGCAGATTCCAAGATCATCAGTCCAAGCAATTGTTATATGGATGTGTCACCACCAATTCTGGAAGGAGACCCAAACTGTCACCCCTGATAGGTAACTGATTAGGATGTTCAGGAACCATCAAGGCTCAAGCCTGCCATCAACTGGAAACCTGCTGGAACATCAGCATCACTGTCCACAGTGAAGAGAGTTTCACATCTCCATGGACTGAGAGGCAGGTGACCAAGAAATAAACCCCTGCTTCAGAATGGACACCTTCAAGCTCAACTGAAACTTTCTGCTGCCCACCTGGACAAGCCATATGTCTTCTGGAGCAAGGTTTTATGGTCAGACGAGACAAAGATTGAGCCTTTTGGCCACAATGACAGGAGCAATGTTTGGAAGAGTAAAGGTGAGTCTTTCAAACCGAAAAATACCAGCTTTAAAGCACACTGGTGGTAGCATCATGCTCTGGTGTTAGTTTGCTGCCAGTGGTACTGCTCCATTACACAAAGTGGATGGAATTACCAAATTCTTCACCGTCACCTAAAATCAACAGCTAGACGTTTGAAACTTGGACAGGTCTGGGTGTTCCAGCAGGACAACAACCCCCAGCATACATTAGAACTGGTTTTTCATTGGATAAAGCAAGCTAACATTAAGCTTGTTTTCCAGCTTAAAGGATTTGTTTGACAGCACTTGCTGGATTGACCAACTCTCAGAACAACAGGAAAGCCCAAGGAACTTAGTGAAGATCTAAGAAGACCTGCGGTACTGGTATTCGTGCCGGTCTACTTTGCTTTTGCAACTACTATTTCTCATGTTAAAAGTTGACAAATTTCAAAGGTATTTCTGTCTCTGGTCATCATAACATTGGGTCATTCCATCCCAAATCACTGTGTACTTTCAGCTTCACTAAAAAGTGTGGACACATATAAAGATTGGTGTGAAATTTTAGCTTCACATGAAAAACGTTTCGTCAACTCACTTGCATGTTTTTGTTTTGGGTTTTTTTTGTTTTGTTATTTTGCTGGGGGTTTTTTTTTTGCACTTTAAAATCTGAGGCCATGTTTGAACCCACAAAATTGTGGTATGAAAAAGTGGGCCAGGATGTATAATTTGGGACAGATACATAAAAAAAAGCCTTAAGTTAAAAGTTTAAATATGACCCATAAGCAAGCACCCATTCATTTTTTTTTTTTTTTTTTTTTTTTTTTTTTTTTAAACAATTGTTGCATACAAAGCTCCTGTGCACAGTTCTGTCCAGGAAGAGGTTTCTGTTAAAGAACTTGTCTGCACAGAGCCCTGACCTCAGTCCCACCCAACACCTCTGAGTGGCAGTGAGCCACATCTTATCTGCATCAGTAATGCTCTTGTTGCTGAGTGGAAGCAAATCTCTGCAGGTTTAAGACTGTGTGAAAAGCCTGAAACCAGAAGGATCGAGGTGGTTATTGCAGCTGAGAATATGCAGTGTTTGGGTTTATGCATGCATGCATTGTAATTCTGCTCAAACCTGACAAAACCAGCAGCATGTTAGTACCAATAAAACAACATTTTATGATCAAACAGCCTCCCCTAACAGGACATGATGATTTGCTGCACTTGGACTCCAAACGAGGCCCTTCTCGCTGAAGCAGATGGTGCAGTGATGCATTATCAGGCCGCAATCACGCTGTTTATGTTACATGCTGGAGTCCATTCTTCTCAAAGAAGGGAGTCTGTTACTGCTGCGGCGTTGTGTTGCTCAGATCCAATGCAATGTTGATGGAGTACAATAAATTTGGAGATTTGGAACAGTTTTTCTTTTCAGCCTGATCCCTGTAAGAGTCATATATTATCACTCCTACACGCTGGCGATGCAGGTTCAGAGTACAATGGGACATTTGTAGTCAATTAAGAGTGAGCACCAGTGAGGGCTACAGAGCCAAATGGCCTTAATGTGGATTTAATGCAGCTTGTGGGTGTCTAACTTGGAACCATTTACTTCACAGCTTTCCTTCATATTATTTGACCCCAGGCCAGATGTTTACCTCTCGCCCTGACCCTGCCATTTTGTCTCATCTCTCTTCTCTCATCTAGGAATGTTTTTCGGAAGCTCCTGTCCCATTCAGACAAGGAAAAGGGGGATGTGCTGTCCCTGGAGGAGATTCTAGCTGAGGGTTCAGATCCAGGGGAGAAGAGGTTGGCTCCCCAGGCCAATGGTGGAGGGACCCTGCGAACAGGAAAGGCCAGACTGAGGGCCCTGAGAGAGGCCATGTACCATAGCGCAGAGCACGGCCATGTGGACATCACCATAGACATCCGCAGCTTAGGTCAGATTTACTAATGCATGCTTCACTGGCACAAATGCATCGCTCTCCGCTGCCTCCAGCTGTCATGAAGATGTGCTTGTGCTGTCCTGTCCTGTCCTGTCCTGTGCTCGCGTCCTCAGAAATCCCAACTACTCATCCAACCATGAAACGCTCGTACAAGTAGGACTTTTTATATCCGAGGTGATAATAACTCGGTCGAAGGTGTGAGCACGATGACGGAACTGTGTCCTCGGGCAGTGCTCATTTTGTAAATGTGGCAATCATCAGCTTGCACCCCAGCTCATTGAGCACAAGACCTTATGTGGTCTGCTGATTAGGTTTTGATGAGGATTCATTGATTTTAGTCAGCAAAACAACCTCACAGTCAATTTAGTAGCTGTTCTGTACTGTCAGGTTATCAGGTGATACTTTGCAATTGTTGGTTTTTAAGGATAGATTTAAGAATTTTCAGATGCAAGCAGTAAGCTGTCCAAATGTAAAAACCAGCACCATCTAAAAGTCACCAATTAGCACCTTATATCCCATTTGTTAAACCAGTTAAAAAACCAAAGTGTTAAACTACACATGAGATATAAGCTGCTAATTAGCGAGCTTTAAGGGTGTTGGTTCACAGCTTCTACAACTGTGGGCACAATGTTTCCAGGATTTAAGCTAATCTGTGAGTGATGAGCTTTTAAAACTTTCTTATCCACATTGGTTTAAAATTTGCAGATGATAGTAACGATTAAGATCATTTTCTGTGGCTGGATTATTTAGCCGGGATACTCTTTTTAAAAAATATTAAAGTGTGGAAAACTGAGAAATTGACATCAAAATTACAAACTGTACATAAAAGATGGACACGAGCTGCTGTTTTGGCCATTGCATAGAGATGTAATCAAACTCTGGATGCAAACGTCCGGAGTATTTTCTCACATCGTTTATGTTTCATTAAAGCGTGGTTGCGTGGTGAGCGCTATGTTGATAGTTAAAATTTTAGTCTGTGGTAAAAAAAAAAAAAAAAATTTGTTCTCCCTTTTTTTAAATTTGTCCCCTGTAAAGAAAAACAAAGGTGCAAACTTCAACCTCTCCCATTGTGATCTTGTTTTTTTTATGTGATCGGTTCTGTTTGTTTGTCTGTTTGTCTGTTTGTTAGCAGTCCAGCGTCAAGTTTTCAAGATATCGTGTTCAAATTTTGTGTGACGGTGAATAACAATATCAGCTGATTTAATTTAGGTGAAAATTGGGTCAAGGTCACACTAAATGTGAAGATCAGTAAAATCTTTACATAACAAACAATTTTTTATGGATCGTTTTAAAACTTCCCAACAATAATGTAGTACCCGGCTGGCTAAGCATTTGACCTTGACCTTTATTGCCAAGGTCGAAGTTAACCTTGAAAAAAATTTCAGAAAACCATACTAGTAATATCGTATAGAAGGGCATGCCGTACACATTTATGTTTTCAATACGACGCCCTACGATGTCACACTGACAGCTTTTTTTACACACAGTCCCCAATTTTCAGAGGCTCAAAAGTGGAGTGTAACTTGCATTAATCTGAAATAAAAGGATTGCTTTTAATAACTGGATGAAAATCCCTTGGCGTTAATGATTGCCTGAAGTCTGTATCCTCCTTTGACATGCTCTGTGTACAGAGGCAGAATTACTTAAATGTCTTCATTGTCCAGGATCTTATGGATGTGACTGTATTTGAGGGGTTAAATCAGCCGGAGAAGCTGAAGAGTCAACTCATGTCATGTGTTGAAGAAGACAAAACTTCACAGAGATCCCTCAAAGTGGAATAATGACATAATTTATACTAAACTTTATGGCTTAATGAGCAAGTTTAAAAACAAAGTTACCCTCACAAAGCATAAAATCCAAATAAAAAACCCACCTGTATCAGGCTGTAAACGTCATTAATTTGTGCTTTTAGGTTGCACATTTTAACACAGTGGATTAGAGGAAATGTAGTTTTTGCCAATTGGCTTTATTTTTCTGTTGTAAAGGTTCTTGTCTGGACAGTAATTACAACCACTCATGCTGCTTTTCCAGCTTTGCTAGCAGGAGCAATCCTGTCCTGAAACAACACACAGACAGACAGACCTGAACAACTGAGAAGTTGTGCCATATGTTTTAAAATATAACTTTTTGCTGAACAATATTGTAGAAAAGGAGGACGACTTGACACACCGTCCGTGTTTATTTGTCAGTTTTTTATTAGGAGAACACACTGCTGGCAGTTCTGTGAGGTTTGGCACCTACATCCTGTAGCTTTTCAGCTGGTGTACAGCACACACCCCTCCTCCGGGCTCCGGCTTCACTCTATCGATCTATCGATCGATCGATCGATCGAGAGACCTCGTTAGTTAATGCCGCACACCTGTCCCACCAACCTCCTTGGCACTGCCCTTGAGCTCACTGCACCACCGCTCCCCTGCCCCTGAGCAAGGGACCACACCTCTACCAGAAATATAAACCTGCCACCTCCAGACTGGGCTTTTCAGTCCCACCATTTCCCTGTTGACTTTTTTTTTTCAATATTTTAAGTTTTTAAAAAATCTTTTTAAAAATGAGCCATTTTCAAAGCCATAAAACATACAAGTATGAAAATACCTGGATGATAAATTTTCCGCTCATCTCGTCAGTTAAACTTCATTCACGTCCAACACATTTAACAGAGCATTCTTTAATTACATTCAGGTGCTGCTTTTCTATTCTCACTGAAACCCTTAATCCAAACACCCACCATGCCATCGTCCTCCACCTCCCACAACGCCATCACGTGATGGAAACATGGTCGGTTCTGTTGCCCTTGAAACCGCTCGCTCTCGGATGTTGTGTGTATTCACGCTCCGTGTGCTGGTGTTCCCAGGTGTTCCCTGGACGCTGCACACCTGGCTCGAGTCCCTGCGTACCTGCTTCATCCAGCACCGCCGACCGCTGATCCAGGGCCTGCTCAAAGACTTCTGCTGCATCCAGGAGGAGGAGTACACTGAGGAGCTGATCACGCACGGCCTGCCACTCATGTTCCAGATCCTCCGATCCAGCAAGGTCACTGGAGCTTTCTTTCATGTCCACGTAAACAAAACGCTTATTAGAGGAACATCAGACAACGTAAGGCACGCTTTCTGGGAATACAAACCGCCCTGTGCCCATGTGCTGGGCCGACATTAATAACACTCATGTTTGCATAAATTTAGTGCACTTCAAACTATATTATCATACATTTGCATAATTTCTTGTCCCGGATTGCTCATGGAAAAAAACGAGGCCACAAAACTGTAATATGTGTAAAGTTTCTGTCCTCACTGGTGTTTGTGTGTGTCTGCAGAATGAGGTGATAAGTCAGCAGCTGTCAGTCATTTTTACGCAGTGCTACGGGCCCTTCCCCATCCCTAAGCTGACGGAGATCAAGAAGAAGCAGACCTCGCGCTTAGGTAAGAGAGCGAGTTATTAATGCTTAACATTTGCTGTGCGATGAGGATGTGACTGCGGTGAAGATTCTCTCTATTTTTTGTTGTGTTTTGGGGGGGTTAGAGCGAGGAGTTACCTCAAGCTCAGAGAGCGCGCTTTTTCTCCTCGTCACATCTGTAGGTTCCTTTGATATTTGCAGCAGGTGATTAAATAAAGGTTTACAAATGGATTTAATCCTATTTACAGTGCATCCTTCTGTGCTTCAGAAGAAGCCACATATAGACAAAGAAGTATCAGATTAACTCATAATGAAACAAGATCTTCTTGATGTTTTCAAAATATTTTCACAAATAATTTGGGGGTTTTTTGTCTGTTTGTTGGAAAAACACCACTTTGGGGGAAATCTATCTAGAAAATGATTTTATTTGTGTTCTAAGGAGCTGTATGAACATTATCTAGTAGTAGAAATGTATTCAATATATTTTTAAGGTTTCTTAGGCTACGTTCACACTGCAGGTCTTAATGCTCAATTCCGAGTTTTTGATCAAATCCGATTTTTTTGTCTACTTGTTCACACTACAAATAAAATGTGACAGCAAATGCGCTCTAGCGTGAACCCTCAAAGCGGCCCGCATGCGCAAAAGAAGACGTCACACACAACGCGCTCTGTTTAGACTCAGAGCAAACAATATTGTTTGACTTCAATAGCTAAGTCAGTCACCTGATCTCAGTCCATTACATCGTACTTTCCAGTTAGTGATGTAAACACTGAATGCAGAGAGACCCACAAACAAAGACTGACTATAACTGTGGCAGTGAATCCTAAACAGTTAATGAGACACTTTTTGTTAAAACCTTCGAATTACATCTGAGTGTGCGCTTCAATCGCATCTTGATTGTTTGATTTTAAACCCCACTGTTGTGGAGTACAGAGGCAAAATTACAAAAGATTGTGTCACTGCCCAACAAATTATGGACCTAAATGTAATTAGTTTTAATCCAAGTTGCATTTCATTTTTTGGCACAAACTCATTGAACTACTGTGGTCAAATAAGGATAGTTTTGAATCACAGTAATTCATATTTAGCGGCTTGGCTCTGTTCTGGGACGTCGCCGCCTTTCTGTGTGCGTTCACAGCAAAATATTGGGAGAGCAGACACATAAAACGTACATCGAACATCAGTGATAACAAAACGTGACAGTGAATATGTCAGAAAAAAAGGAGAAGATGAGGATGTGAAGCAACATTAGGCAGGCTTAAATAATCCATTAATGGATGGTGTCCTGCGGCATTACGGAGCTCCTGGATAGTCTGAGGTGCAACTTGCCAGCGTGAGATGGATGAAACACAATGTCTCAGAGGTAATCTATCGTTAGGTCAGGCAGATGTGGGGGCCAATCAATCGTATCAGTTCCTTCATTCTCCAGGAACTGCCTGCATACTATCGCTACACGAGCCCGGGCATTGCCGTGCACCAGCATAGAGTCTGAAAGGGAGTCCAAGGATTTCATCCTGATACCTGATGGCACTCAGGGTGCCGTTGCCTGGCCTGAAGAGGTCTGTGTGTCCCACAGTGGATATGCCTCCCCAGACCATCACTACCCACCACCACACCGGTCACGCTGAACGATGTTACAAACAGCATAATGCTCTCTGCATCTTCTCCAAACCCTTTCATGTTTGTCACATGTGCTCAGGGTGAACCTGCTTTCATCTGTGAAAAGCTACAGTGCCAGTGGTGGACTGGTATTCTATTCTAAATGCCAATTGGGCTCACTGGTGCTGGGCAGTGAGCACCGGAATATCAGGCTACCCTCATGAGTTGTTTCCGATTGTTTCATCAGAGACATTCACACCAGTGCTGAAGGTCACCCTGTTCCTCCTTGCACAAAGGAGCAGATAGTTGTCTTATCGATGTTTAAGGACCTCTCCTCGAGCAACTGCATGTCTCCTAGAATCTTCTCCGTGCTCATGAGACTGTGCCGGGAGACACAGCAAACCTTCTGGCCATGGCACGAATTGATGTGCCATCCTGGAGTTGTTCTGTAGCCTCTGTAGGTTCCAGGTATCACCTCAGGCTTCTAGTAGTGACACTGACCCTAGCCAAAAACTAGTGAAAAAATAGACGAGGGTTGTCTCGTTTTTGCCCCTCTAGGGCTCCTCTTCTTAATTTGATTTACCCCAAAGCAGCTGAAAGTGATCGACAACCCCCTCTGTGAGGTACCGGACCAGATCAATATCCCACGAGTCTGACTGACTTGATGGTACACTCTTATTAAAATGTGTTTTCATTTTTGTTTTTGTTTTTTATTTAAAGTCATTAAAGATGTATGCTGTACAATTATTTCACCCTGGAAAAAGAAAATATTAAGTTCAAAGAACTAATTAAAACCCCTGAATTACCGTGATGTGCATGCCCATAAGGAGTGCATGTAAACTTCTGTCCAAAACTGTAAAGTGAGTTTCATTTTAAAAGTAATCTGATATTTTTTTGTTTATTTCGATGTGCAGTATTTTCTCTATGTGCAGATAAAATGGGTCCACTTGTCTGTAATGAACCAAATCGTCCATTAACACCTCAAACTTTATTTTAGACATTTCTTTGAGAGAAACGAGGAAGAAGAGAAACATTCAGTGACGGCGCTGCAGCGCCACCTGCTGATCATTTTCTGGCAGGGTTTAAATAAAGTGCTTTAAATCACTTGATTTGTGTGCAGTGAATGAAATGCACTCGAGGATGCAAACACCGGATATCAAATGCAAATCCCCTGCCGTTTAGGAATGCTAACGCGATTTGATAATTCAGCACTGATAGGCGCGTGATGAATCAGCCTTGCGGTAATTAATGGCCACATTAGCTTAATCTTCTGCTGTTTGCTGCTCTGCATGCATTGTGTAGGAGACGTGAATAAATCTCTCTTTTTTTTTTTTTTTTGTTCTCTTTTTTTAGACCCCCACTTCCTGAACAACAAGGAGATGTCTGATGTTACCTTCCTGGTGGAGGGGAAACCATTTTATGCACATAAAGTTTTGCTGTTTACAGCTTCACCCAGGTAACCTGAAACTTTGCTCCTATTTTATTTTGTAAAACAAAAGCGCACCGATGGGAAAAATAATGTAGAATTTATTTGTTTTTTGTTGTTATTGTTTTTAGGTTCAAGTCGCTGCTGCAAAACCGACCAGCAGCAGAAAACACCTGCATTGAGATCAGCCATGTCAAGTACAATATTTTCCATGTAAGACGTTTATTTCAGTTCAATTTAATTCCGTTTTATTTTTACAGCACCAAATCACAACAACAGTTGCCTCAAGTCACTTTATATTGTACGGTAGAATGTATGTGGGAAGGAAAAACTACCTCTTAACGGAAATGAAACCTCCAGCAGATCCAGGCTCAGGGAGAAGGCAGCCGTCTGCCGTTCTTCTCTGGGGTGAGAGAAGAAAGATTTCAGTGCATACAAAACCTATTCCCACTCTCAACCAGACCCACAACACTCATCGTCCCCTATGAGTATAAGAACAGGCTCCACGTTTGATTGTTTTATTCTGAAGGAATGGTGTTAGGTACATAGTTAAACAATCGAGATTAAGAAATCCATTTAATTCTCAAACACAGAAAGCATATAACTCCAACTTTACCGTATGAAGCTTAAGGTTGACCCAATTTGTGCACATCTGTGGGAATGGCATGAATCCTTTTGGAAAAGGGTTAAATGAAGTCTGTCAGCAGTATTGCACATTTCTGATTTTAAATGATTCACATTAGCTGTAAACCCAGAGCCCAGAAACGTGAGCTTGAACCGGCTTGGCGGCTGCTAAAATGTTGGAAATGTTGTTCCTGCTCGCTTTCTGGATGTTCTTTATCTTTTAGCTTTCCACTGGGTGTATCCATGAGGCTACAGAAGACACAATTAAACTGCGGCCCCAGAGCTTCCCCCTCCCATTTCTTTCCCCTTGTCTCTTTCAATTTCTCTCCAGTCCTGCTGGGGACTTGTTTATCTCTGGTCTGCTCTTTATTTTTACTGATTGAATGCTTGTTCCTTTTTAAATGGCGATAAAAAGAAAACATGAGAGTAAATATGACTGGATGCAGGGAAGGTATTTGATAGCAGTGAAAATATGTAAATGCTTAAATTTACATATGTAATTCAAATCTGGATTACTTTCCAGGTGACAGAATGGAGCCAAAAAAGAGGCACAAAAAAAGCAACAGAAAAAAGGGTCCCTCTTGTACTCTTCATCAGCTTCATAACCTGAAGCCTGTACTGTTCTCTGTTACAGTTGGTGATGCAGTATTTGTACTGTGGAGGCACCGAGTCCCTGCACATACGCAACACTGAAGTAATGGAGGTAAGAAAGACTTAACCAAAGCCTGTGGAGTGACAGCATGAGTATTAACATTTCTAATCCCGAGTCCTGTGCCTCATTCTGTGTGGCTGTACTGTTCCCTGTAGCTCCTGTCTGCAGCCAAATTCTTCCAACTAGAGGCCCTTCAGAGACACTGTGAGATCATCTGCTCCAAGAACATCACCACCGAAACCTGTGTGGACCTCTACAAACACGCTAAGGTGGGAGGCTTACGGTCTCTAGCAGCTGATTTACATACTGGGAGGGGTTTGTGTAATGAATTTTTACATAAGGTGCAAACATGCCATTAATTAACTATTGCAGACTGGCAATACAACCACCACACACACTATTTTTCAAGCTGCTCTCATATTTTTGTATTGGCAGTGACTCAAATGACAAATGGAACAAAGTGGAACAAAAACTTTATGCATGGGCTGACACACCAGACACGATCAAGACGTTCAGTTGAGCCGCAGTCATGCTAGGCTCAACTGAGAATAGGGAATAATAATAATGCTTTGGTGCATGGAAGACACCGACTTGTCTGCAAACACTTGCCAACTACTAGCAGAGCAGTAGTGAAACTGTGGAAAGTGCAATGCGTACCAGAAAAGCATACCCACTTGTCTTCAAAGGAAAAGTTGCGATTTTTAAATGTATTGATTGCAGTAGTGAGACGTAGCATTTCAGACTTTACTACCACTTGGTGGTAGTAGAAGTAGTTTGCCACTGTTTGCAGACATGTTGGCATCATCCATGGAAACAACAGGGGACCAAGGTAACCGCCAGGTAATCAACACAATCACAAGAAGGTAACAGATTTAATCTGTGAGCAATCACTGACCAACCGAACAGGAAATACATGTTTTTTCCTCAGCAATCAGAGGTTGCCAGGCGGTCTCCAGCTAATCTCCAGGACTCTGTGATGAAGCCTAGATGGCAGTGTGATTAAACCATTAATAACGTATACGTTTGTAAAAAGTAAAATTTGCTATAACAGCATTAAAACATGGGAGTCAATGGCAACTGACTGACTTTTAAGGGAACCTCACATGGACATTAAAGAAATGGCCCTTATATACACTGGCTTTATTTTCCAGTCTCAGGGTTTGTCTTGCTTATATTGTTAATGTTGCTCAGTTTGTTAACATTTGCTGTATATTTTTTATTAAGTTACATTGCAGAAAAGGTGCATTGACAAATTAACTTGTAAAACAGGATAATAGTTTTATTTTAAAGTGAATACCTAATTAGAAGCTGTGTTGCTTTTAGCTCAGAAGCTAAAAGTGGTAGTACAGAGTACCGGTTTTACAGTTTTGTGAAGTTGGTGTTTGTGGGGTTTCTACAACTTTCCAAGTGGGGAAATTCGAGCTGAAAATTCCACCTTTATTTCCATCTTCCCGCCTGAGTACTGGAATAAAAATACCCTGTTAGTTGTTCAAAGTAAACTAATTAAAGATATTTAAAGAAAGTGCTAGATTGACAGATTAATAGCTGCTATTGTAAGGATCAAACACTGGGATAATAATGATGACTGTTCTTAAAAAGCAATTACCAATTTTGGGCTGGAATATTGTTAAGCAAAATTATATATAATCAGAATTTGAAAGCTGCTAATGTCACACATTCCTCTCATCTTTCATTTTCATTGTAGTTCCTTGGTGCCACGGAGCTGACGGCTTTCATCGAGGGCTACTTCCTGAAGAACATGGTGCTGCTGATCGAACTCGATGGCTTCAAGCAGCTCCTGTACGAACCTTCCCCCGCCGAGAGCCCCGTGTCCAGCCCCGGCATCTGCTCCGACATCCTCCACGACCTGGAGAAGACTCTGGCCGCACGCATCCACTCCATCCACCTCTCCACCTCCAAGGGCTCCGTGGTGTGACGTCATCCTCACCGGAGCCCTTCGATCCAACCACAGCATCCATGTAATGCCACTTTTAGCATCCAGCGTCCCGCTTTACTTCCCCGTTTTCCCCTGACCAAGCCCCCACCCCGCTGATGAAGAGGAGCTGTCGGATGTTTTTAAGTCAGGAATTCCCTTTAATTCTGCCTGTTGCAGCTCAATGGGGGTTCATGTTGCGACTTTCTGACCTTGAACTCTTTTGCCCTGTGGCTCCCATCGGTCACTTCACACCCTGAAGAGTAATAAAAACCTACAAGAAAAAACAAAAAAAACAGAACTGCCTTGACCCAACAGTATCATTTAGCTCTAAACCATGATTCTAAAAAATTTCTATTGTATTTCATATAGGATACGTGCATGAAATACATAGGCTACTGTACACTGTTTTTCACTCGAAAAGGTAGAGTAGACTTTTAACTCAATAAATGCAGCTTCGTTATCATCTGCGAAATGAGACTGTGGTTTACAAACAATAATACTTTATGGAAGTGGATGCCATTACACATGCCAAAATCTAGATATAACCCTTCTATACAACCAATAAAAGTGATTAGTAGCAAAGCCAGCAGGCGGACTTTTAGGTGGCTCTTATTTACATCTCATTCTGTCTCTTCTATGTTGGATTCACTGTGTTATATCTACTGTGTGCAGAGGCCAAACTGATCACAGGAACTTCCACCGTGGCCGACACTGCGGCCGGCACTCATTCGACTAAAGACGGCCCACTCAGTGAAATCTATGCTGACTTATGCTTGAAACATGGATGCCCAACTGGGAAATTAACTTGCGATAACGCCCACGGACGACTCTTTTTTTTTTAAAAAAAATTATTGTTACTATTATCGGTATTTTTTTTGCATGACATCTTGTCAACTGAGCTGACCCCTGGTGTTGCTTTTTAATGCAGATATTACTTCACGGACCACTTTCGCAAGGGGAAGTAAGGGGAAAACGCTGCTTGTTAACTTTGTATCCACTGCAAAACTGATCAAAAGCGGGATTTGGAGAGGGGGGGTTTCAATTGGCAGGGACTTTCTCTTTAAAGATGCTTAAAGTAAGCATGTTAATACATTCTGAAAGTCATAGTGTTAGTTTTTTTGTTATTGTTTTTTTTGTAAGCTGATGTACAGTATCCCCACCTCCCCTACACACACCCGCTTGGCTGCTGACACCAGTCTCATTGAATGTGCTCCCTGCTGTGCGTCTTGTTTATGCAAAGTTGCATGTTTACTCTGTTCGTATGACTCCTCTGTTTTTGCTTTAGGTGTGCTTTCTGTGTAGACTGAGTAGGCTGAGTGAGGTGTTGAAGAGGTTTTGCCTCAAATTACTTGAGCTCTTTCAGATAATATTCTAAGCCATCGGGGTAGACCATGAGATGCATGTTAAAGTCACTCTTTGTTTAAGGCTTCACCCCCACATGAATTCTTCGAAGGAGAGGCTGAATCCTGCACAGAGCACTGAGTTTATTAGAGGCACAATTACCCTATTTATACCAGCCATCTGTATCTGGACACGTTCTCTCAATGCATATCTGATTTATGGGTCTTTACATTTACGACCGGTATAAAAATGCATCCTCGGTCTCTCCACTCTGCTTGTAATCAGTATGGAAATTAGTTGGACTTGTCAAAAAACATGGCACGTCCCACGTCAGGGTTCTGTTTATTTGACTGAGCTGCTCCATGAAGCAGCTCGGTAAAATAAGACCTCCAAATGTTGTGTGGTTTGGACATATGTTAATTGCAAGTCTAAATGGGGTAAATGTAGACGATGTTATTTGACTTACACAGCCACTTTATCCAGTTCAACTGCTCGTTAAATGTCTGATGAGTCTCGATTTCTGCTGCAACATTCAGGCGAAAGGGTCAGAATTTGGAGTAAACAACAGCACCTTGTTGAATCTGTGAAAGCAGGTGTTCACCCCGATATTAGAAAGGTGTATGGCTGGTGAGGGTAAATCTGTGAGTGCTGAGGTGTAAAATTAGCTTCAAATAAATTTAGTAAATCCAAACTAAAATAGTAGATTCCATAAAACAACCTGATGCATCTGATGTGTGAAGTTCCTCAAACTAAAAGAAAATGAAACAAGCACTTTTAGAGTTACAGCAGTGATCCAGAAGGATGGCAGCATAAACCTCATAAATTTCATGATCAGAGCACCCACTCAAGAATTTGTGTGGGCAGTCCTGTGGAAGATACTCGGACTTCTGCAGTCGCTATGCACACATCCTCCAAGTAGGCACGTGGGATATCTTTCCACAGCTTTCAATGTGTGTTCATAATTATGGACACCAACTGCTTTGTATTTTCCTCTCCTTCCTTTCTGGAAATTAGTTTAAAAATCAAATGAAAGTGACACATCTTTGAAATACTAAACAATTGTTTTAATTTAGTTTAATTTAATCATCATGATAGATTTAAAAACTGTGTGAAGAAAAAACAAGCCTATATATTTAAAAAAAAAAAACGGGAGATGATAACTATGACTACCAAGAAAAATGAGCGCAGTGTGCAGATGAAAGCCGTTAAAAGCTAAATTTAAGGTGAGGAGGAAAATAAACTTTCCCGTTCTGATATGTTTTAAACAAACTCAGTAACTCCGAAATTAAATTTGTTTATGATTTTTCTCTTCTTAGAGATTAATCAAAACATTAAAAAAAAAAAGTTGCCGCTGCCATTTTATTTCGCATGAATGTCAACTTCGGTTCAGGAAAGCGCCAAATTTTTAGATTAAAAACAGAAGTTCAACCAAATCTGAGGACAGTTTAACTGGAAAACAAGTACGCATATCTACCAATTTTTATCAATACCCAAAAAATGTTCAAAATGTCAGAAGATGGTTTGGGGGTTGGAGGACTTGGTTGACTGGTGGCTTTTATGTAAAAGTGAATTTTCTTAATTCGCATCCAAAAAAGTGGGAATTTAAACTCAGTGCTCAAAGTGTGCAATAATTCAACCTTTTTATCCCTGTGATTGCATCAAATAACGCGTCTCACTCCTTAAAGGACCAAATGTAAACAACTGTCAGCTCTGCTGCTCAAAAGAACGTTTTAATCGAACCCATCCGATGTAACCGGTACCTCTCTCCCTCTAAGGAAATCGCACACCACACAGTGTATTTCATGAATGTAACAGTGCAGCAAACGTGCAAAGTTTTCCAATCCAGCGAGAAACCAAAAAAAAAAAAGGAAACCAGATGCTTCACTTTGGCTAAACAATGCAAACATCATTCAAGTGTCCTCATACTCTGTGGTGGTTGTTCCTCCTGTAATCGGAAGATATCATTTAAAAAACTGTAGCACGTTCCAAAAATAATGATATTATTTGTTTTGGTTCCTGCAAATCATTTTAAGAGAGAGAGATTTGGGCATATACGCACACACACATTGACACAAAGTTCTGTAAATAGCTACAGAAAAGAAAGTACAGATGTTATCCTACAGCTTTATTTTCTTACCTACATACACGGCATGATATATTTTATTTTACATTCCGCTATTTTGTTTTACAAAAGGGAAAAGAATATATAGAGATATATAAATATAAACTTTAAAGTTTTAAAAATTAAGCAATATTTCCATTAAATTGTATTACTTTCAGTGGTATGATGTGCAATATGCCACAGGAGATGGAGTATAATGAGCTGAAAGACGATTATATACGAGTGACTGAGACTGAAACAGAAGGTTGAATATATATGAATATTATTTCTGTCTCTTTTGTGACGCCCCTTCATGTACTGTTTTGCCACCGTGGTGTTCATTTTTACCATGAACCCTTTGAGGAAGCTGACAGTCACGATGTCGACTCACCACACTCGCTTCTTAAATGTGAAACGTAACTTTAAAAGATGCAAGCCATTTTTGTCTCCGCAGAGGTGAAAAGGTTCACAATGATGTCAAGCACTTTCTGTGCCAGTGTTACTGTAGCCTCTCTCTCTCTCAATCGAAAAGCATTAGTATTTCAACTGTGAGCTTAAGTTTCAGTCTTATTGTGATTTTTTTTTTCTTCAAAGAAACATATATGGCTTTGACATTAGAATAGAGAGGAAAAAACAATCCTTTTTTAAATCTGTCTTAATGTTACGCCATTAGCAAAAGACTAACTTTAGCCCCTGTACTGGCGCTTTTGATTCCAAACTGGGTCCAAGCTGTAGAGTAAGTGTCGGTTCGCATGGCTCTTCTTGTTTAATGTTGTTGAGAATGTGCTCTGTACACCAGCTTCGTCCACCGAGACCCTCCCCTTTATTTGCCTGCATACTTGTTCCTAATAAACGACACTTCTCCTAGACGCAGTGAAAACGTGCATGGGGTATTCACTAGTTTTCACACCCAACCGAGGGGGAGGGATGAACTTTTGCATTTTTTTTTTCTTTTCCTTTGATGAGAACATGTATATTGTACAAAATATATATATATATGAAATATAAATTATACATGGTGTGAGGAGCAGGGATGTGGTGGAGTATAACAACAAAAAGGAATGTTACACTCGTGCTACAGTTTCTGTCGTTCCATGACATGCTTTTGTGGACAGCTAATAAAAGACCACAGGTTAAATCATATTAAAGGTCTCTGATTTTATTTCGCTTCGTCTCTGGAATGTTTTTCTCCATGATGGTGCGTTTATTCACGAAAAATAGAACAAGCCGAGATTTCCCCATCTTTCAGCTGCTCATATTTTATTTGGACAAAAGAACTTTTGTAGTTTTGCTATGGGCTCAAATTGTGGTCGTAAATCAGTTTTGTATGTGTGTAAAAAGAATTTGTGTGTGCGTAAAAAGATTTGTGTGTGGACTTAGCCAAAAAAAATACCTGTGAAACTCTGCACTCAAGTTTCAAGTTACAAGTACGAATTTTGACTCAGTTTTTCTTTCTTTCATCTGATTGGCCAATGTCATGTCAATCACAAATTTAACTATCCAATCAGAGAACAGGTGGGTTTGGCTATTGGAGGGGTGCTTTATGGAGTTTCAGATCCTTCGGTTGGCTTAGTTGCAGGGCCACGTTTCACACTACTAGGCTAAACCCCAAATTACTAGACAACATAAGCAATTTTCTCATTCAAAAACAAAGAAGAGATGGTAAAATTCAAGTTTTTTTTATTGCAGAAAGATTTGCAAGCTGAAAATGTTCACTGGTTTTAGATACACGTCTTAGAGATCAATGATATGTTCTTCAGAACATCAGAATGAATGGAAAGCAACAAAAGCACCACCGTTTAAACCGGTCAGAGTGTCTCATTAAGAGACATTTGGATTTCTACTGAAACTCTATTCTCACTTCCTCTGTGAAAGATGACTCCACTTTAAATTCGTGAGTGAGGGAGTGTTCACAAAGGGATTTTTTTTGGAGGAACGCTAACCCACACTCCTCGCATACGTAGCTCTTTGGCTTCCCGGCGTGAGTCCGCCTGTGTTTCTTCATGTGGTAAGACAACCTGAAACCTTTGTCACATATGTCACATTTAAATGGCTTCTCTCCCGTGTGGATCCGCATGTGCGACTTCAAATAGCCCGACTGGATGAAGGCTTTACCGCACACTTCGCACTTGTACGGCCGCTCCCCGGTGTGGTACCTGTTGTGGAGCCTGAGCTCGTTGGCGGTCAGGAAGGTCTTCCCGCACACGGTGCACTGGTGCGGCCTCTCTCCTGTGTGGATGAGCTCGTGCCTCTTCAGTGACGTCTCCTTCATGAACTGCTTGCCGCAGCTGTTACAGGGATACCGGACCCCGATGTGGACTTGCTCCACGTGGTTTGTGAGCTGCAGCTTGGTACGATACGCCATGTTGCACTGTGTGCAGGCCCACGGCCTCTC